CATACTTCAGATTCTTAAGCAAATTCTGGACTCGATTTGCGGCCACTTTTATAGTACTTCCCGAGGAATTAATTTCCAGTAATTCCAATACTTTTGTGTATTTGTGGACCAAATCATTGAATCCTTGGATCACTTGTCGTCTAAGTTTGGTGTCATTCAACCACTTCAACACAATGTCTGAAGTTTTGGTTATTTCATTGATTTTGTTGTTAATAATCGATTCAATTATAGAGACCTTTGAGTTATACACTCTTATGTCCGAAGTCTTAAGCATATCATTGCTTACAACTAGTGAATCGTTGGTATCTTTATTAGAGGTTTCATTAATTTGATCAAAGATTTCAAACTTTTTATTTGAAATCCAGTTCTGAAAAAAGTTATAAAAATATTTTATAAGTTATAAATTGTAATGAAAACTTATTAATCATTATAAAAATGACTTAATTTAGATGTATTAATATAATTTTAAACAAAATTTTATAGTGATTAATAAATAGCATTATTAATTAATTACCGTAATTAAAAATAGCAATAAAATTTATTAGTAGCATGCTAAATAAAATAAAATTTTGTAAATTGATTAAACAAAAAGAAAATTAACCATTTTCATGAAATTACATGATTAATACAATTAAATATAATTGCATTTCAATCTTAAATATACAAACAATTTGTCAATTAATTCATAAATACCTTAAATTCTTCACTCATTTTGCGTGGATTTGTGTGAAAAGAGACAAACAATGAGTGATTGAGTCCTCAAATGAATGAATGAAACGAATGCTTAGTATCGATGAATTCAATGCCAAAGCAGTGATAATCGATATATTAATTGGATATCAGTTTTAAAGTAAATATTTATTAATCAAAACTTTTTTCATTTGATACAAGAATTTGCAAATCAAACACAAAACCAATTGTTTATCACTTACTGGAGAAGTGTTTCACTGAATGAGTGTTTGTGTCGTAATTGATGTGAAGAGTACTGAAGTCGACAACAATGGAAGACACGGCCGAAGAGCACGAGAAGTGGTTATACAGTACTCATGAGGACAATGACCACAAAGACAACGCTCAGTCAGACCGAAGACACAGCGAAGACTTGTCGCAGATATTCGACAATCAGGTAATGATTGCATTCAGTGTCTCCTATGTGTTGAGCCATTGGGAACCATTGACACCAAAGTTGTCTCTTTCAGTCTTCGGATGACTTCAGACAACTGTTTGATGTCTCGAATCCGGCAGAAGAGCACCAATTGGACCAATCGTTGGATCACTTGAAGGAAGAGAAGGAATACGAGTTGAACGACAAGGAGTTGACGACAGAGACCAACGACAGGAACTCTTCGGACACGTCTGATGACGAGGACGACGATGACGTTCAGGTGACTATTGGGGACATTAAGGCCAACACGTCGTCCTTCCCGTACGGCTCGACTCCAATGAACCTGAATATAACCAAAAGGGGCGGAGCCTTCGCGTCCGGACAGACGAGTTCGGCCACTAAACCGAAAGCCGGTCTCGACATCGAAGCCGTCGGAACCATTAATGGCGTCAATATATATGACGTGAATTTGGATAGTCTTGAGGAGAAGCCGTGGCGCAAACCCGGCGCCGATATCACCGATTACTTCAACTACGGCTTCAACGAAGAGATGTGGAAATTGTATTGCGAGAGACAGAAGAAGCTCAGGAATCATGACTTCCTGACCAATGGTCCGCCGGCCACCACATCATCCAAACAGCCCAACCCTATGTTGCCGGCCGGCGCTCAACCAGTCGTGGCCGCCGGTGGCAAACCCGGCGCCGAGCAGTTGATACCAATCGCTTCCGTCAATGAGAACTCGAAGTACACGGGAATCGGATTAACCAAAAAAGCTGGTCCACCGCCCGGACGCAAACAGTCGGGAACTATAGACGTGATCGGAGGCGGCACTCCCACCACACCTAATATGCTTCCCAGTCGTCGACCTCCCGATACTAAAGAGAATTTCATCCAAGTTTTAGGCAGTCGACCGCCTGGACCTCCCGGCCCTCCGCCTCCTGGACTCCCACCGGGTATGCCTTTCCCGCCGATGTCGATGCCCCCACCCTTTGGATTCCCACCGCCACCGGGGGTTGAATTTCCACCTGGAATTCCTCCGCCAGGAATGCCGTTGCTTACACCCAATGGTCAACCGCTACCATTCCCTCCGGGAGAGTTTCCTCGCATGCCTTTCCCACACCCAGGTATGCTTCACCCGAACTTCGATGATCAGGGAGAGGGCTATCACGAGGGAATGGGAGGAGATGAGGACAGGGATCGCGACCGGGATAGAGATCGTGACCGCGATTACCACCGATCGAGTCGAGGATATTCTCGAGATTTTCGAGAAGACGACTCATTCAGAAGCGGTCGCGGCGGCGGTCACTTCAGGGATCACAGACAGGGCGGGGACAGGGATTACGAACATCACGAGAGGTCTCGCGATCGGGATGTAGAACGAGACGAAAGTCGCAGACATCGGGACAGAGATAAGGATCGGGAGAGAGAGAAGAGTGATTCACACCGGGAGAGGGAGTCGTCGTCTCGACGCAGACATCGCGAAGAACACGACTACGAAGACGACCACAACAGCAGGTCTTCGTCGCGTCACAAACACTCGAAGCGATCGAAACGAGACAAAGAGGAAGAGGAGAAGGAAAGCAAACATTGATTTTGAAATCGCGATCAGTTTTATGTAAAATAAATCCATTCATTGATTTGACGATAATTTGTAGTGATTTTTGTAAATTAAGTGACTTTTGGTTGAAATCAGATTTATATTAATAGTGAATAAAGTCTATTGACTAATGAATTGCATGTTTATTATGACAACAATTATACAAATATTTCTATGGATTACTAAATCAAACGTCGGTTTTCAGTCCTTCAGTATACCTCTCATTGAATTGATATTCGCCGCCAAACCTAACGTCCGGTTCCTCTCCTTCGGCAGCGATTCTGTGGTTCAACCAAAATATCTCTTCCTTCTCTGAATTCATGTCTTTTTGGTCTAAATATACGAACGGAATCTCAAAGTCTTTGTTTGTGTCCTCAAAGTCTTCGTTTGTGTCCACAGACTCTCCTTTTTCTGCTTTATATCTCAAGAGAAACTCCCTCATCAGCGGTGGCACTGAGTATTGCTTCGGAAGAATGGTCTTCACTTGTCCCATATCTACCACTTTATATCCGTTGACGAACTCTTCCTCTTCGCCTTTGGCGATGAGTCTGAAGTCAGGTTTGTATCCATCGGTAAAACTCCGGACTCCCGGCAATCGCTTGCCTCTGAAGACTGTCTCGCAATAAACGGTTCCAAACTTGAGCTCTTCGTCCATCCGCGGCTCAACTCGTTTGATGATATGATAGGAGGGCTCCGGATGTTTACTCAACATATTCCTCGTAACCATTCTTCCGACGCCGAAGTTCTTCAGATGCGATAATATCTCCCAAATAGTCTTTCCCACGAAATAGTTTTTGCGTCCGATGTATATTGTCTTCATTTGTGGTGATCTCTCGACAGATATACCATAAATGAGTTAATTGTCACTCAATTGTCACTCAATTGGCACTCAATTTAACGTCAATTTAAAAACGATAACAAAATTGTTGTTTTCATTTCACACTCAATGTTAGCATTCATTCATAAATTATAACTCATTTCTCAAAATACTTTTTGTCAATAAAATTATTATTTTTATTTCAGTTTTAATTATTATTATTAATTACTTTTAACACATTGAATATAATTAAGTAATGATTTGATTGCTATTATAATTGATGACAAAAAGTGTATTCAAGAGTGAATTAAATGTCAGAAATTGAAGCAAAAGTTTGTGATTTAAACGAAGCGCTCATTGAATGGACAGAAAGTTGTGAGAAATTTGTGAACAGTTTTGTCGCGCCTTTTGTTTGAGACTAATGTTGACAACTCGTGGACTCATTCCTCGCATTCGCATCTGATTTGAGGTCGCATTACAAGACACCGACCGTTGAGATAAAGACTGAAAGCGCCGCCACTTGTGTCCAATGATGTCGTTCATGGGTGCCATCCGTTGGACAGCACTGCGGGCTCTTCAGCCCAACAGCGGAGGTATGGTTTGGAAACAATCGCCACAAATGCCTGCCATTGGATCCATTGGATCCATTCGTTTGGTGAATATGTTTGGGAAGATATCGGAGGATCTGGAGAACAAAGTGCCCGAAAGGCCTAAAAGACCGCAAACGGGATATAATATGTTTTATAAGGACCTGTCGACCAAACTTCGACTCCAGAACCCGTCCCTCAATATCCAGGAATTGGCCAAAACTGTGGGCAAAGAGTGGAAGATATTGGACCCGAAGGCCAAACAAGAACTGGTCGATAGGGCGCAGAGGAATAGCCTACTATACAAAGAGCAGATCCAGAAGTGGAAGGACTCGTTGTCTGACAAACAAAAGGATAACTATTTGACCGAAATTAGGGTTTGTTTTGAACTGAATGTCACTTTGAGATCAAATGAATTGATTTGTATTTGTTTTGCGAACTCAAGAGTCGGAAGCGAGTGTTGGCCAGACGTAGGCTCAGGTCTGAACTCAAACGACTTGATTATCCGATTCGAGCCAAAAGTGCTTTTAATCTCTACATCAAAGAAGCCATCGATAATAGAGTGAAAACTTCGGAACCATTTGTCGATGTCTTCAAGAGAATTGTGTCCAAATGGAAGACAATGAGTCCATTAGAGAGGGAGCCGTACGTGGAAAGCGCCAAAAGCGATAAAATGAGATATTTGTCTGAAATGGAGGTCTGGAAGGAAACGGTGGCGACGGTTGAGAAGAAGGAGACTATGGATCGACTGACTCGACTGAAGAGCTTGTCGTCCAGAATCGTCAAAAGCGACCAAAAGTCGAAAAAAGTGCCCAAAAAGCGTAAATTGAAGGCAAAGTCTAAGACAACAAAAGCCAAACCCAGAGGAAGACCGAAGTCACTTAAATTGAAGACCACATCGAAAACGGCTGCAAAAACTAAGTCTAAATCGAAGTCCAAATCTGTGGCAAAGTCTAAGAAACCAAAGAAGTCGACAAAAGCTGGATCCAAGTCCAAGGCTGACAGCTCTGATGACTCGGAAAATGAGACAAAAGGTTAACAAATGTGACCACAAGTCTAGAACTAACTTATGATGTGTGCATCCGTTCATTACTATTGAAATCAGATTTACATTTAAATTTAAAATTATGTTTTCACATAAATTCTCTATAAATCATTGCATTTCTTATTTGATTATATTTTTATTACTATTATATATACAGTACTCTTATTATCAAATTAGTTGTTTCACATATTTTTCATAGAATTGTATTCTTGATCAAAATGAATAGTTTTTATTAAGTGTATTAAATACTGTTAATGACTTGAAATGAGAATTCAATGGAAATTTTGTCTAATTATTAGTGAAACAAAATAAACAAATTTTTGAAAACTAATTTCTTTTCAATATTTTTGCTGTTTTTTGTGTGTTTAAACTGATTAACGATAATCTGGTTATAACTTAACGCAACAATTATTGCAAATCATAAAACTTTCATTAAAATCGTGTTAACGTTTGAACCGTAAGTCAAAATACAATTTGAGAAATTCATCCATGAATTTAAGTTCACCGACAGAAATGTCTCAATGTTTTGGTGCTTTGCTTTTGAATACCAGTGCGAGTGTAAAATGAATGTAAAAGAAAACATTTTGGTTAAATTAAATGAAGTGATACTTACTGTGAAGTTAGCGTATGTATTCATTAAATTATTTCATTTTTCAATGCATATCGTATGCAAAGTATTCAAAAAAGTTTGCATACATTTCAACGCGAAAAGCTTCGGCAGTAGTGAAGCCTAACATGTTGTGACCTAAAAATTAATTAATAAACTATATTACTATGATTTGTGTATTACTTTTTGCGGCAAATATTTAATTGTTTCTTGACAAGAGTCAAGTTTTCATACAATTTATTTTTTTCTCTCCCAATACGATGTCTTTATGTGCGAAAAATGAATTCAAGAAATTAGTTTTGAAAACTTTTGAAAACTTTTGAAAACTATATTTCGAGGATCATTGCTCTGCACTAATACTAGATTTTCTCTCCACTCGATCTGTAATATGAATAAAGAAAATGAATTATCTTTTTCTTCCTCTTAACCTCAATTCATGCGATTCTCTTGTCGAACCTATTTATGCAATCAGTTTAGACACCACTCCAACAGAAAGTATTTTTAATAATCATTGCTTTCCATGCAATTCACATACAATTGACAATATCCTCACCGACTCTGATCCCACAAACCACTTTCACTTCTCGATTGTCACTCGACTCTCAAATCGCTTTTAATTGTTTTCATTTTTGTGTCATAAATTTCGTTATTATTGTTATTATAGAATTCATTTTTGTTATATTTGCATCAATTATCAATCAAATGATTATAATTATCATTTTGGATACAATAAGTCATTCGGTCGATGAGACTACTGTACTAACAAAACCAACAATGAATGTGCAATAAATATATGCATTCAATTCAATGCATTTTTGGCCCTTTATTACTAATTAGTAGAATAATAATTGTGTGATTGAGACATTTGAGGCAGATATACATATCTGTAGTATTTGAGAAAAATGATCACTTTTATTGCTATTTCATAATCTATTGTCTATTAGCCAAAACATTGTTACTGTAATCCAAAATTGTACTACATATCGTATATTGTACAATATACAGTATAATAATAGAGATAAATTAACATTAAAATATGCAAACAAATTATGCACATTACATAAGAATCGAGAGAATAATTATTTTAAAATTAAGTTATATTTCATGCCAATCCGTCAATTAAATGATAAACTTATATTTGATCCGAAACTTTGAAATATACGAGATTTTTGGCACATTTCATGGATTTTGATAGAGATGGAGATTATATACAATATTGTGATTTATTCAATGAGATATGAGATTTACAAAAAATTAATTCATTTTTTCAATACCGATGTTCAGTATGGGATTTAATGGATGTCATGAGAAAAAACATAACCTTAAAAATAACATAATTGCTGATAGTCTAGTATTTTGAGAAACGGTATTTTATAATAACTGTTGTATTAAAGATTTTCATGTATTTATGGCATCAGTGGTTGAACTAATAAATGAAAAATTCACTGGATGAGATAAAAGTTTAGTCTTTGAGGTGATATTTTAGCCAAAAACTCATTTTAATTGAAAACAGGAAATATGTTTCAGTTTTCAAAATGACTATATATTTTTTATTTATAAATTATTATAGCATTTATATTTAGCATATATTTTACTCACTAAATATTATATTAAATACAAAAATAGAAAAATTAAAATTCCTATTACTTGCAGTTTTTTATTGTTTTTATTATACTTTTCTTTACAACGAAAATAAGTAAAAAGTAAGTAAACGTTTTTCATTACTTGTATTTTCTTATTTAAAACTACATAATCGCATAAATTTGTGCGAAAAATCTCATGAATAAAACTTATAAAAGTAGTAAAATTAAAGTCAAAGAAAAGAAATAAAAATAAAAATTAAGCAAAACTTTAAGAACTCATTTAAGTCAACGTAACGGCGATAGAGAAACACAACTGCTTTTAATGTTAAACTAAATTATAGCTACGATTAATGCAAATCATATTCAAAAGCCTTTCCGTTGGATATCTTGCATATGAATCGCGGAGTCGGAGAAAAAATAAAACAAAATATGAATTTCTTTTTTGAAGATTAAATGAGATTAATTCAAATTATGGTTATTATAACTTCAGGTTATGTTTATCTGCTTTAAGTTCAGACAGTTTTAGTCTTTAAATTAAGGCCTGTCGGCCAAAGTCAAGTATTTTCCACTCAAAAATATATTTCTTTTTTGCTCTTATTGTAAAAATATACTCAAAAATACTTAAGCATTTGATGTAAAAAACTTTTCTCCGTATTTTTTACAACAGCTAAAGGCGCGTAAATACCTGTTTCTCCAAACTATTGCTATTCATGTAATGCTAAATGAGAGGCAAACGACCTCTAAATTAACTGTTATATAATCGCCGCTTAAAACGGATTGTATTGAAAATATTAATCTATATTTTAATTCATTGTATGATTTGCTTAGCCGAGAGAGAGAGAGAGAGAGAGAGAGAGAGAGAGAGAGAGATTGTCCTGATTATTGGATCTCATGACTCCTTTGATACATATTCTGTTACTTAATATAACTCTATATGAAGTAAAAGCAATATATTTTGATCGATTGTAAAGTATTTTTGTATATCATATAATTTATTCCATTTATAAACTTTTATATTATATATCAATTTATTTACAAATATCTTAGTAATTATTACAAAGTGTACGCTATATTCATTCATTTCCGACATTTGTATTACTCTTTAAAGCACATCATTAGAGATAAGATTTTACAGTAAAATAGTTTCAAGAAAGATATATATAATCAACAAAAAATAATAAAAATCAACAAATGTTTCATACATTACTCGTCATACTTCGGATAACAATTGTATAATTGAAAAAACATAAGAATTTCTAAAAGAATAATGAAATGAATTGCGAAAAAATAGTAGAAAATGAAAATGTTTTCACAAGAAAACATCGGATTAAATGATAATTTAAGGAAATATAATTATATGAAGTTATAATATAAACAATATTTTTGTGCTTTCATGTCAATAACAATAATGAATATAGTTTTCAAATGAATCAATATATTAGTCTAAACAACACGACTACTAGTTATGATTTCTTTCTGCAAATTTTGGCGATTTTATGTTAGACTCAGCCTTTCATTGGTTGGGAATTGTTATAAAATTACAAAAAATACAACACTTAAGACATTCTTAAGAAGTGGATCTAAGATTGTTTCTGTTGGTGATTCAGTTGTTGTGGTGGTAACTGTTTGTTCTCGTGGACATTGCTGGCAGCCTTGGCGTAGTCGCCACCACCGCCACCACCACCTCCTCCGCCACCACCATATCCTCCTCCATATCCCGATGCATAGGACGGCGGATGATATACGGGTTTCTTCTTAATGTAAACCCTTAACAAATAGAGCGGAATAAAAAAAGGTTAACTCAACTCATCATTGCATGGATTGTATGGCTTGTGTGATATGCTCTGACAGTTATATTTAGAAAACTAATGGCAAAACGCAATGCAAGACAACCGGCTTTGCCTTTTGCTATAATAGTTTGCTGTTAAGGACTGATTGTAATGTCTATAATAGAGCACAAAAGCAAACCATTTTGTAATTGTTGTGTCAAAATGTAATCATAAACATACATTACATAAAACAATAGAGCATTACTTACGGGACGGGCACGTGAACGGGTTTCTTGACGATCACCTGCTTATAGATGGGAACCTTTACCGGCACCGGGTATGGTTTGGGTACGTGAATGATTTTGGGTACGGGATAGGGCACGTACTTGGGTACTTTGACCGGTACGGGTACGCCGTATGGTTTGGGGATCATAACGGGTTTGAATACGGGAACGGGATGGTGTTTAATGACTGGCACGGGCACAGGCACCGGCTTGGGCACGGGCACTGGCACCGGCTTGGGTACCGGTATTGTCTTTGGTACGGGTATTACTTTCTTAATGGTCTTATAGATGGGAACTTTGACGGGAATGTGGACCGGATGAGGTACGGCTATAGTCTTAGGAATGGGTATTATTTTGGGAACATGTATCACTTTGGGAATTGGCACTGGCTTTGGGATGTGAACCGTCTTATGGATTACTTTTACTATCGGCGGCTCATGATATCCACCGCCGCCGCCGCCGCCATAACCTCCGCCGCCACCTCCGCCGCCGCCATAACCTCCCGCTAGAGCCACACCAATGAAGAGAGTGCCAAATATGAGCACAAATGTGTTGGAATACATCATCAGTTTATATCCTATTGGATGCAAACCTATTCAAAACAATTGGTTAGAAATGCAACTAAATTTAAATGAAAAGTTCAAAGACTTTTCCACATTTACATGAAATCTATTGATATAAATATAGTGATTACAAATACAGTAAGAAAACAAGTACTGAATTAGAAATTACAAATTGCTTCTATATATATACAAAACTCATTAATTATTTTAGTATCAAATGAGTGTCAATAAAATGTTAGTTAAGATCA